CGTTCAGTCAATTTGCACATTATGCTTTTATTATATAGGATATTTCAGTGTGTATCTCTGAAATTATGGACATTTTCTTGCATAACCACAGTGCTATTAAAGACCACTAAAAAACTTAATTATTTTATTACCATATGGTACTGTAGTCCATATTCAATTTACTAATTATCTCAGTTGCTTGAATTTGAGTTCAAGGAAGGTTATATTATGTCATGGTCCATTTGGTGTGTCTTTTAAATCAATGCCTTGTTGAGATAGGCTAGGTCAGTCCCCGTGTAGATTGCCTCAGTATTTGGATTTTGTTTGCTTACCCAGGGCATCATTTTCCTCTCTTCCCAATATCTTCTGTAAAGCAGAAGCTAGCTTTAAAGGTTTATTAGATTCATATTGAAGTGTTGGGGCATGTGAATAATTTTTTACCCTTCCATTTTAATAGTTGTTTTTTTAAAACTTAATTGATGGGTTCCAGAGCATCATTTAAACGTACTGTGTTCTGCCCTGGCTGGTTTTCTCAGTGGTTAGAGCATTGACCTGTGGACTCAAGGGTGAAAGGTTTGATTCCAGGTCAAGGGCACATACTTCAGTTTGGGTTTGATTTGTGGCCCCAGTCATGGCATATGTGGGAGGCAACCAATCGATGTCTGTCTCTCTCTCTCTCTCTCTCTCTCTCTCTCTCTTTCTCTCTCTCTCTCTTTCCCTCCTCCCCTCCCTTCCATTCTGTCTGAAAAATAAATGGCAAAAATATCCTTGGGTAAGGATTTAAAAAAAGTGCTCTATGTTCTACTTAAAGGAAAAAGTGTTCAGTTGATTAATTTTCTATCTTTAAATATTATTGGATATTTAGTTGATAAAATAACTTGATCTCTCAGTTTTTGTTTTTGTTTTCTTAAATAGTCTCACCTATTGATGTTTGTTTACGATCGTGGATGAATAATGAGAACAAGGTAATCTTTTTTATGTTTGTTTTTAACATCCGGAGTAAGTTCCTATTTCACATATATAAGTGCTAAGTAGTACTAATAATAGAAGTCTTCTACTTGTAAATAGCAAAAATCCAAGGTACTGCTTTAAGTAACTGGGAAGTTGAAGTAGTGCTAGACTCGGGACTGTCTATTCCTGGGCTCCTTGTGTCATATGGACTGGCTGTCCCTCTGCTCTACTTCATTCTGTGCTGGTTCCCTCTTGGCTCCATCAGGGTAAGGCTTTCTCTTTGTTTTGTTTAGTGTATCCTGTGTGCCTGCCACATTGTTCACACATACTCAATAATTTGTTGAATGAGAGGGACACTATCTTCATGTGTAGGTGACTCAGGCCTATACTCTTTACATTTGTGCTAACAAAAGAAGAGCATGATCTTTCTGTGGGGTAAATTAAAAAAAAAAGTAGAGGGCTATTCTAATGAGCTCACTTGGGTCATATATCTTCCCCTTTGTAGGTTGATGAGCCGAGGGGTGGGTTGAGATAAAACGGTCTGATTTATGAGGTGAACCTTATGTTCACTTCAGTGTGTTTGTGTATGTGTGTACGTGTGCACCGTACATACACAGATAGAAGAATGTGACTGACAACCATACCAGGACCATATGAGGGAAAAAGATGTGGGCTCCTCAAAGGAAGGGGTGTTGAGCAGATAAGCAGTTTACGTTCAACATAAACAGTGAGGTTGGATTTTAAGCCTATAGTCTCGTATTTATGAGACTTGTTTACAAAACGTAAACTAAGTACTTTTAAACCTTATAAAACGGAGATGCAAGTTTTGTTTTACTTTCATAAGAATTTTTAAGATAGTTTTTATAAAATGATTACAAAAGGGCTTAAAGTAAGAGTAATTGGGAGAGGTCAGTGGGGGAAAAGGAGACATGTAGTACTATATATAATACTTTAAACAATAAAGAATTAAAAAAAGTCAGTAATTTCCCTCTGCCAGGGGTTGGCAAACTGTAACTCATTGTCCAAATCCCATCTGCTGCCTGTTTGTGTCAAGTTCTATTGGAACTCAGCCATGCTCGTTTGTTTCTGTATTGTTTATGGCTACGACAGCTGAGTTGAGAAGTTGTGATAGAGACTATGCTAGCAAAACCTGAAATATTTACTATCTGGCCCTTTACCGAAAGTATTTGTTGACTCTTGCTCCGTAAGCCTACTTCCTGTGTGTAACCACTGATCGCTTCAGTGTGAGAGCTGCTTTTTATAGGAGGTTCAGATGTGGTCAAATTGAAATTGAATCAGAAAGCAGATTTCTTTGGACATTTAGAAGCAATGGTTTCTGAGAAGAGAGAACATACCTTTTCCCTTCAATTTGTAATTTATTTTCTTAGGATGGTTGAAGAATTGATTTCCTAAAAACATTAGATATCATTGATGATAAGAGGGGGACCATAAAACTTGAAAGCAGGAAAACAAGTATAGAAACATGAGATATTTAATAAAAAGAAAGTGAAAAAGTGATAGCAGGAGGAAAATAAGTGTATTTAAAAACCTGGACCAGAGGGAGCTACTACTGCATTTGACTTTTGTTTTGGCTTTGACTGTCCTGGTATCCAGGGCAGTGAAAGAAATATGTTTTGATAGATCTCATCATCTAAACTGTAAGAACTACACCACCTTCACAAAATAAGGAAGTTTTCCAGCGTCTCTCTAGTTCAATTGGCCCTTATGTAAGACACCACGATGGCAGAATGGATCGAGTTCTCTGTAGCATCCATGACCAAAAAGGCAGAGGTGTTTTACGTATTGTTCTTCCTCATACAGGTTTTTCTCTAATTTTTATTATAAAAAATTTCAACACACAGAACTTAAATTCCACAACAGTAGTCCTTGGTGCCTTAGATCTTTATGAGCATAATAAGGCTGTGCTGCCCTCTACAAGTCTGCAGTTGCATTGAGAGCCCATGCGTTTAATCTTAAAAATTAATGTGCATTTTGCAAGTTAATTCTTAAGGTGGAATTGCTTGATATATAATATGATTATGAAATAAAATCAACACTTAGAAGAAAACGTCACATTTTATTCTGGGCCTTAGTGTCCTTAGGGTTACTTGGTTCCTGGGTTGAGGAGCAGAGAAATCCATTTTTCCATTGTAGGTTGCTGAGCCACTTTGCTATTATTTTCACTTCTATCGCAAGCCTGTTTTGCTCAAATTCAATCGTATATTAGTATACCAACTATATTTCTAGGTCTTTCAAGCATGTGTACATTTTGAAATATTAAATTTTAAGGATGTCTTATTGGATGGGTCAGGGGAAGGGAGGTGGCATCAAGGTAGGAAGAAAGTTATTACGGATATAAAACAACTAGGCCTTCATTGCCTAAATTGTGAATCATAGATACTGAGCACATTGGTGATCCTTTTTGCAGCCTTGTACGTACTATGGTCTTCAAAGCTGTGAGTGTGCTTCTCTTACATGCATTTTATTTCTTATAGATTGTTGTTCCTGATGCTGGAAAACATTTTGAAGGGAAGAATTCAAACAATGACTTAAGCCATACTAGTTTAATAGAAAATGAAAAACTTATGTCACTGACAAGCTTGGATGACTCTTCTGGTACTGTAATGTAATTTGTGTTTTCCTAGCCCTTATGTTGACATTCTGTGTCTTTCTGCTTCTTGGTTGCAGTTGTTCCTATGCCAGATTTTTGTTTCTTTGCTTTCTCCTTTCTTCCTATCTTCCAGCACTCAAATGGCTTCTTCTGTTAAATGATGGACTTTTGAAGCATTTCTGTGTATCAGTCTTGATATGATTGTGCTTATCCCTGAGTTTAGTATCATAAGGGTACAAAGTAGTAACCCTAGGTTCCACTTCAGTATAAAGCAGTATGTTAAGAAATTGGGGGAACCATGAAATATTTGGCCTCTGCTTTCTGAAAGACCTGCCAAATAAGAGAAGAGATGCATAGCTAAACATCCAACTGTATTATGTATATTATGTGTTCCTCAGAACAAATTGTGCAAGAATCATGGGAGGGTGACAAATTCTGATTGAAGAAGCTATCTGTGAAGCTTTACTGAAAGGACACAATTTTTCCTCCTCCTTGCAAAGGCCTGTGATAGGCCTTAACGAAGGCATGGGAAGAGAAGTACATTTCAGGAAGTGGGAATAACTTCAGCAAAAGATCCTGTGGTGGTGGTGGTGGTGGGGGGGGGCCGCGGGGGGGCGGATATAGCCAATGTTTGGGGAATAGCCAGTAGTTTTGTGTGGCATATTTACAGCACTTGTAGGAATCTGAATTGGAGAGTAATCCAGAAAAGGAGGCAGGGATCAAATTATTCATGGCTTTGAAGGCCAGGCTGATGGGCTGAGTGGGATAAGTAGAAACTAAATTCAGGACAAGTTTTGCTGCTAAAGTTTTTAGATATTTTTGGATGGTGGAATTATGGATAAGGAATTGTTGACCTGAATTTATATAGAACTTTCTTTGAGTATGCTAGATTCTTAGAGGTAGAATAACTAAGTCAAAGGTTATGAGTACTTTTAAGGCTCTTAATGTTGATTGCAAAATTATCCTTTTGAAAAGGCAGTGATAACTTACAGAACCATTCTTGCCCCTGCTGGGCTGGTTGTTGAAACATTAAAAAACCATTGCAAAGACAAACAAAAACACTGCCCCGGTGTTTTTTTTTATCTGTTTATTTGCAACTTTCTGCTTTTGGTAGAGGTTGACTATTTTTAATCATGCCTATTAGGGTTCAATTTTGTTACATTATTTTCCCTTAATTCCTTCTTTCTCAAGATCAGATATTGTTTGAAGTTTCATACTTAATTATTATTCATCTAGAATTTATTTTTACTTTTATGATGGGCTTATCCATCCTTTTTTGATAGTTACTCATTTGCCACAACATTTTCTAAATTATTTGCCCTTTTCCAACTGATCTTTAATGCCACATTTATTATACCCTAACATAGGGTTTATGCCAGGATTTATTTCTGTGCTATCCTATCAAAGAAAGTTAAATATTTAGTTATATTGGAATCCTCATAATAATTTATAGACAGAAATGATAAGTTTTTCCATGTTGAATATTAAAATCATCATTGATTTATATGTCTTATCAACCTTTTTGGTTAAATTATCGTTCATTCACTACTTTAAAGCCTGTTCTATTTTTCCTCCATTTACTAATAGATGATGATATTGATGATGAAGAGTTTTATGATGATCATTTGGAGGCTTATTTTGAGCAACTGGCAATTCCAGGAATGATATATGAAGACCTAGAAGGACAGGAACTTCCAGAAAAAGATTTTAGGTTGCCTATAGGTGATCTCAGTCTGGTATGTTCCAATTATTATGTTTTTCAGGAATTTGACATTAGAAAATTATTACTGGTCTCATTGGATACTAACATAAAACTTAAGCTTTTGGTTTTCTTGGAATTCTATTTTTCCTCAATATAAACCGATGAGAAACACCGTTCCTGCTTCCTCTTTCCATCACACAGAAAATTAAAAGAATAGTACAGTACAGTCAATGTGTATATACCCTGACTTGTTTTGTAAAATGACCGAATTTCCCCCCTTCTGATTACATTAAACATTTGGCAAGAATTCAGGTTAAACATTTTTCTCATGAATAGATTAAGATTAAACGTGGGTGATGTGGATGTCTCATTGCATCACTCAGGGGACATATAAGTCTGTTTGTCCCATTAGTGATGCTGTGTCTGATTATCTAGGTTAATGTGTCAGCCAGATATCTCCTACCCATTTGTTATCAGTAAGTCCTCTGGGATGATACATCAAGGTCATGTGAACATTCTGATTCCTGAACAGCCTTTTATGAACTGGATTTAGTATCATTGCTGAGGCCTCTCAGAAACAATTTTTACATTTTACAACTACCTTGGCATCCTTCTATGAAGAAGACATTGTCTGCTCCCTATATTTTATCCCTCAAAATGTTTGTTTTTAATTTTAAAAATTCATAAAGCTAAGATACTCTTTCAACAGGCAAATGGAAACGGTAATTTAAACTGTAAATTTCAGTCAGAAAATAACAGCTCTCTGATTTCCCATGGCTCACACTCTTCAGGAAATTCTGAAACAACCCACAGAGAGTCTGAACAAGGCCATGTTTGTCTCCCTGGGACCAGTAAGTATTGATATGATTCCTTTGTTTTTAAATTCTCTTTGACTTTAATTTTTTTGCAAAAAATCCCCTCATTTCTTTGGTATGATTTAATATGTATTAATCCTTGTATCCCCCCAAATCTTGAAAGTCTGAAACTTTTCAAAAGAGGTTTTTTAAAAAAAAAAATTAAAAGAGGAAGTTTATTTAGAAAGTTACAGAGGTAGTAGACATGAGCCAGCTGGGCTGCGTAGGCTCAGGAAACAATTTACAGAGGCAGGAGAAGAGCTCTTGGAGCTTAGGAGAGAGTAAGGCATAGATAACTCGCCTGGAAAGGAGAAAGGGAAAGGCGTGGGCATGCTCCCAAGAGGGATCATGCTCAAAAGAGCTTTTAATAATGCCTGAGGACACTGGTATTATTGGGGATACTGTAGGTTGTAGATTACAAATGATTGTGCTCTATTCAGATGCTTGAGAATTAGAAATGAATTCTCTGTATGGTAACAGTTTGGCAAACTTACTGTTACCTCATACTGTTGGTTATTTTCTCTCTCATGCAATTGCTATATTTGTTATATGAAAGCTAAGTATTAGGTTTACATAAAATAATTTGAACAGCAAAAAGAGTTATTACATTAAATTACTGAAACTTTGACATTACTTCATTATTTTTCTTATATTTTAGGTAATTCTATAGATAACGGAAATAGTAGAAGGCATGTAGATGATGTGTTACCATTTTCCTCTAACACCTTGAGAAGTGAAAAAAAGAAAGAAGGGGCAGAAAGTTCAAAGGGTATTGTTCGTCATTGTGACAGAGTAAGTTTATTTGCATTTTCTTTAAATGTTCTATGATAACAAAGTCTTTTCTGATAGCATTTTTATTAATTTATTTTTAAATAATTTTTATTTTTCAGTTATGGTTGATGTACAATATTATATTAGTTTCACGTCTACAACCCATTGCTTAGTCATTTTTATAACTTATGAGCAATCACCCCTGTAAATCTAGTACCCATCTGGCACCACATATACTTATTACAATATTATTGGCTATATTCCCTATGCTATACTTTATTATTTATTTATTTAAGTATATTTTTATTGATTTCAGAAAGGTAGGGAGCGGCAGAGAGAGAAACATCAACGATGAGAGAATCATTGATTGGCTGCCTCCTGCACACCCCACACTAGGGATTGAGCCCGCAACCCCAGCATGTTGATGCTCAACCACTGAGCCACGCCAGCTGGGCCCCTATGCTATACTTTACATCCCTGTGACTGTTTTGTAACTACAAATTTATGTTCCTTAATCCCTTACCTTTTTGACCCAGCCTCCCAACCCTTCTCCACTCTGGCAACTTGTCAAAATGTTCTCTGTATCTGTGAGTCTATTTCTGTGTTGTTTGTTCATTTATTTTGTTCTTTAGATTCCACATGTAAGTGAAATCATATGGTACATATGATAATGGCAGATGTTAAAATCATTGGTTAGAGTCTATGAAGGATGCTATCTTTCCATGTTTTGGACAGCATACTTCCCTTTCTCTAGAGTGCTTTCTTTTCTCTCGAACTCACACTTATTGAATAATTGTTGTGATACAGTGTGGAGTTTCTGAATTCTAAATAAATAAATTTCACTTTGAATTTTTGATCTGTTACTCTTTAGCACCAACAGGCTTAGTAATAGCCTGAAGTTTACCTGACAGTGGGTTGACAACTTTCCCTTACTGGCTCTTCAATCTGCTTAATAACAAGCCCTTTGCTTCTTCTGTCATTCTTCTAGGAATGGCCTACGGCCCTCCTTTCTGTACATTCTGGGCAAAATGACTGGTGATGGCGAGAATAGTGACAATGAAGCGGTCCACCGAGCTAGAGAGACAATTTTCAGTATGAGAGTCTAGGCCCATGGTCAGCAAACTGCGGCTCGCGAGCCACATGCAGCTCTTTGGCCCCTTGAGTGTGGCTCTTCCTAAGCCTTAGGAGTACCCTAATTAAGTTAATAACAATGTACCTACCTATATAGTTTAAGTTTTAAAAATTTGGCTCTCAAAAGAAATTTCAATCATTGTACTGTTGATATTTGGCTCTGTTGACTAATGAGTTTGCCGACCACTGGGCTAGGCGATTCCCTGGCTTCTCCACACATTTATCCAACGTAGCTCCATGAAGTGGTGCACCAACAGCAGAGGTGCCACGACTTGTTTCTTTAGCGAGGGAACTGGGTGTAGCAGGGACATCCGGCGACCTCACCACGGGTGCCTGGGACCTGTATTTTAGCCTCGTTTCTCTTTACCCTGGTCCCTGTCCCGCACCTGTGTGGTGAACTGCGCCTTCCGCTGCAATTCTGCTTCGTTGGCCTCTCCCAGCTCCGCCATTGTCCCAAGTGCTTTGTTACCTTATTGTTTTCCTTAGACTCCAGTCAGATGGGACTTTCCAATACAGTTGACCCTTGAACAACACAAGTGTCAACTTTGTGGGTCCTCGTATGTGCAGATTGTTTTCAATAAATATACATTTGGCCTCTGTATCCCAGGGTTTTGCATTCGCAGATTCTACCAATCTTGGATTGAAAATGGCATTTTCAATCTTTGGTTGGGAATTTGTGGATGCAGAGGGCTGACTGTATGCATTGTTGTATGCCATTTTATATAAGGGACTTCAGCATCCATGGATTTGGGAATCCACAGGGGTCTTGGAACTTAGATCCAGTCACCTGTGGATATCAAAAGACTGTAGTTAAGTTTTGGGGGAGTCAGTAGTTATACGGGGATTTTTGACTACGTGAGGCTCAGTGCCCCTAACATCCCAAGTGTCAACTGTACTATCATTATCTCCTCTTGAAACCCCACCTCCTAAGGAACGTGTGGATTGTTTTTATTTTTTTCTTTCTTACCTTTCCTAATTCTTAAGTTTTCCTGAGAGTTAAACTTTCAAAGTGTAAACAAAGATCTATTTTGTGTTTAGGCTTAAAAATCTGTCAGAGAAACTGCATTCCTCTTTTTTATTTTATTTTTTCAACAAACCCTGTGTCTTGGGCTGACTTTTAAAAGATCACAGCAAGAGCGAAAACCCCATCCCAGAAGCAGTCATCTACAAATGGTTGAGCACCAGTTTTCCCACCAATGGCTCCTTGGGTTTAGGGAGAGTGAGTGGCTATCCGAAGCCCATGGCACTACCCTATCATTCTGCCTGGGTGGTGTTCTGTCTTGGAGGTGGTCAGTCATAATCCCACAGGTGGTATTTTCGCCCAAATGGATCCTTAACCAAGCACATGAAGAGTTCAAGTGCATTTCATTAAAAGAGTGCAGCGATTTTGGGAGAGGGTGGGCTGTAATCACTTGACTACATTCTATATTCAGGATTTTAAAAAAAATATATTTTATTGATTTTTTACAGAGAGGAAGGGAGAGGAATAGAGAGTTAGAAACATCCATGAGAGAGAAACATCGATCAGCTGCCTCCTGCACACTCCCCACTGGGGATGTGCCTGCAACCAAGGTATATGCCCTTGACTGGAATCGAACCTGGGACCCTTAGTCCTCAGGCTGATGCTCTATCCACTCAGCCAAACCGGTTAGGGCTCAAGATTGTTTTAAGTCAGTTTATTGAGGAGAGAGCTAGTTCCCCACATTCTGGTTCTTTTTAATCTGTGCTAATGTTATATATGAAAAACAGTTATCTAGTTTTAAAATATATTTTTATTGATTTCAGAGAGGAAGGGAGAGGGAGAAACACCAATGATAAGAGAGAATCTATTGATTGGCTGCCTCTTGCATACTCCACACTGGGGATCTAGCCCACCACCCAGGCGTGTGCCCTGACTGGGAATCAACCGTGTCCTCCAGGTTCTTAGGTCGATGCTCAACCACTGAGCCATGATGGCAGGGCACGGTTATCTAGTTTTAAATGGCATTTGTCTCCTTTGTCTTTTTTTCTATTTGTCTTTGTTTTTTTGGAAGCCATATTTTAACTTGTTTTCATAAACTTTTCTATATTAAGGAGATATTTTAATCCTTATGCATTTTATTCATTTATTTGGCTCAAAGAACAGAAATTTATTTTTATTATGGTTCTGGAGAAGTCCAAGATCAAGGTTTTGACAGGATTGGTTTCTCCTTATGCTTTTCTTGCTTCCTGTGTATCTTCATGTGGTCTTGCCTTTGCTGATCCTTATGCATTTTAGGTTTTAGTGTTTGTATTAGTTTTCTGGGGCTGCTGGTACAAATCATCAACATTTTTGCTAGCTGAAAACAACACATTTTTATTTTTAACAGTTTTAGAGGCCACAATTCTGAATCCAAGGTGTTGACCTGGTGTTCCTTAGCTGTAGCAGAATTGATCCAATGACTACTTTCATCCTCACGTGGCTTTTTCCTCTGTCGCTCTTTGTCTCTCTGAAGTTTTCCTCTCCTTATAAATACAGTTGACCCTTGAACAGTGTGGAGGTTGGGGTGTCAAACCCTCTCCTATCCCACATGCAGTCAGGAACCCATGTATAACTTTTGACTCACCTAAAGCTTAACTACATCCTTTGCTATCTGCAGGCAATTGGTTCCAGACATGCCCGGATACCAAAATCCACAGGTGCTCGAGTCCTTTATATAAGATGACACCTCACAATTCATACAGTCGGCCCTTTGCATCCACGGTTCCCACCCGGAGATCAAAAATACTGTTTTCAATCTGTAGTTGGTTGAATCCAGGGATGTGAATGAAACCCAGGGATATGAAGGGCCAACTGTATATTATTGAAGAACTCCATATATAAGTGGACCTGGGCAGTTCCAACTTGTTTTGTTCAAGGGTTAACTGTACACTGCTCGTTGGGTTTAAGGCTCATCCTAAATCCAGAATGATCTCATCTCAAAACCCTTAACTTAATTAAATCTGCAAAGATCCTGTTTCCAAATAAGATAACAATTTACAGGTACCTTGTGGTAAGACTCAGGCATGTCTTTTTTGGGAGACACAATTTAATCCATGAGAGTGTTGACACTTAGAAGATGTTATTTACTGAAGAATACATTATCCATCTGTATTTTCTCCTACTACTTTCATTTTGATATAAGGTAGAGATGTAAGTTTATTTTTTTGTATGACAGTGTTAGAAAATCACCCAGTTAATAAACAGTGAACCTATGACTTTATTTCAAAGTCAGCGTCTTTTCTGTTAAATAGAACTACTTCTTTTTAGTATTCTAACTTTAAAAACTTTGCCCAGGAGGCTGTTTTTGTCACATATCTTATAACAGAAAAGACTGCTATTATAGGCTTTATTGGCACTTTATTCATAGCTGAATTTCTAAGAAGAGTATTGTAGGCACTTGAGCCCCTTTTCAACAGTTGTTATTCTAGGAAAGAAAAAGAAGTGCCATTTGGGAAAGTTTGTTGGAGGGCTTGGTCTTGAAGCAATGACTTACTTTGCTGTGTCTGATGCAATTGTCATTAGACTCTTAGGGACATTGGTAGTAGTTGCTGTTTTACTCCTATTAAAATATATTAATGTCTGTCTTTCCAAGGTCTGTTATTCATATTACTTTTACGAGGTTGGTCACACTAATGGGCTTACTATCCTTAGTGGTAATGATAAAAGTTAAATTGACATTTCTAACATTCTGTAAATGTAATGAATATGTTGGACCCACTTTTGGTACCTGAATCTGTTGTGTGTTTGCAATGATCACATTATGAATAGCAGCCTATAATAGCAGTCTTTTCTGTCATAAGATATGTGACAAAAACAGCCTCCTGGGCAAAGTTTTTAAAGTTAGAATACTAAAAAGAAGTAGTTCTGCTTAACATTGGGTCTTACATAATCTAGAAGAATATAGTGAATACTCTATAGTCTGTTCTCTTATATAATAAACATTTATGTCAACTACATAATTTTTGCCCATAACATTTTGGAATGAGTTTTGAAAAACAAAACTTACTGTTGCTCTTTTATTGCTTTTTAAAGGAAAGCACAAGAGAAGAAGTTCTGGTGAAGACTATCAGGACTGCTAATGCAAAATTTAACCCTGTTTATTTTCATGATGATACAAATGTCAATAGAGGTGATTTTGACCTGATGAATCCTTTAAAACTGGAGGCAGGGTCTCCTCATCAAAATAAGCAATTGGCATCAGATTCAGACACTAAGATTCCTAAAGTATCCATTCAAAAAAATATGAACATAGCATCTTTGAAGCCCATTAATAAAAATAGTATTAATTCTGATATTCTCCAGTCACCAACTAGCGAAAGAAGAGCATGTGAAAGTTACGAGTCCATTGAAAAGAATAAAGACCGTAAGTGGACTTTTTTTTATAAGAATATATAAAATATTGTGTATATATTTTGAATAGAATATATTTCTAAGTGGGACTTTCCTCATCTTTCATATTAAAATACTTAAGTTTTATGAATTTAAAAAATGGTATTTTAAAAATGAAGATGGTGCCTAAAATGAAGAAGGGTAGTGTGTTAAGGCTTTGGAGGCAGAGAAAGCAGTGCTGAAAGGCATCCACAGCCACACAAAAAAATGGAGATCCTGCCCAGCTGGTGTGGCAACCCGAATATATCCGGAAGAGTCCCCCAGGAGAAACAAGCTTGACCACTGTGCCCTCATCAACTTCCCCTGACCGCTGTGCCATCATTAAGTTCCCCTGACTACCAAGTCAGCCATGATGAAGATAAAAAATAACAGTACTCTTGTGTTCATTTTGGATGTCAAGGCCAACAAGCACCAGATAAACAGGCTGTGAAGAAGTTTTGTTACATTGATGTAGCCAAAGTCAACACCCTGATCAAGCCTGATGGAGAGAAGATGGCATATACATGTTCGACTGGCTTCCTACTATGGATATTGCCAAGAAAATTGGGGTAATCTTAAGCTGTGTCCAGCTGTGAGTTTGGGACTTGAGGAACAGTTCAGCACTGTGTTCCCCACCTAGGCCATACCACGTGCCAATCAGCACTGCTCCCCTCCTCCCTCCTCTGCCCTGTGCCCATGGCCACTAGCACAGTGTGACTGGGCCTGAAGCCTGGGGCTGCTGCATTCTAGGGCCATGCAGGGCTACAACCAAGGCACTGCTGGGCAGCCAGGAAAAAGTTGACAACTCACCCTGGAAGGGCAGTTGAAGTCAATCATAAAGAAAATTGACTTGGACTCAGATGGCTTTCTCACCAAAAGTGAACTCAGTTCATGGATTCAGTTGTCTTTTAAACATTATGCTGTGCAAGAAGCGAAACGATAGTTTGTTAACAATGATAAAAACAGTGATGGCAGTGTGTCATGGATGAGTGCAACATTCAGATGTATGATTGTGTGATTGACTTTGATGAGAGCACAGCTCTGGCTGTTGCAGAAGAGGAGTCTTAGGCAGCTTCATTTAAAGGACAAGAAGGGATTTGAAATAGCTAACCAGGATGGTTTGTATCTTGAAGAATTTATTGCTTTTGAGCATCCTGAAGAAGTTGATTATCTGATGGAATTTGTCATTCAAGAGGCTTTAGAAGAACATGACAAAAATGGTGATGGATTTGTTAGTTTGGAAGAATTTTTAAAAATTTAATTGATTTTAGAGACGGGGCAGAGAGAGAGAGAGAAACATGGGTTTGTTGTTCCACTTATTTATGCATTAATTGGTTGATTCTTGTATGTTCTCTGATCGGGATCAAACCTGCGACCTTGGCATATCTGGATAACACTCTAACCAAATGAGGTACCCTGTCAGGGCTGGAAGAATTTTTTGGTGACTATAGGCAGGATCCAGTAAATGAAGATGCAGAGTGGATCTTGTTGAGAAAGATACTAGTAGATTCCTAAATGATTATGACAAAGATACCGATAACAGGCTTGATTCTCAAGAGCTGTTACCTTAGATGGTACCCAATAATCAGGGTACTGGTCAAGAAGAAACTCTTCATCTCATTGATGAAATGGATGTGCATAGTGACAGAAAGCTCTCTGAAGCAGAGATTCTGGAGAACCAGGACTTGTTTCTTACTAGTGAAGCCACAGAGTATGGCTGACAGCTTCTTTCTGTCATGATGAGAGTTAATCCCTGGTTATATCTCAGAGTACTGGCTCCTTTTATAAATTGTTACCAGCGTTACTTTCGTGATAAAATATTGATGAAGTTATTTTCCACTCTGAAATCTTACCAAATGTATCTTAATGTAGATGATAACCTTGGTCTTTTAGGAAAACAAAACAAAACAAAACCCTCATACTTATTTAAAAATGTATTGAAGAAATAAAACAATATTGAGTCATCTGACTAATAAAGTCTTTCCTAAATACTCTGTATGTTTAGTACTATATTGTGGGATATTTTGAGTTCTATTTCCATACTTTTATTTTTTTATTTATTTATTTTTTTTTTAAATATATATTTTATTGATTTTTTACAGAGAGGAAGGGAGAGAGATAGAGAGTTAGAAACATCAACTGCCTTCTGCACATCTCCTACTGGGGATGTGCCCGCAACCCAGGTACATGCCCCTGACCGGAATCGAACCTGGGACCCCTCAGTCCGCAGGCCGACGCTCCATC